GCAATTCCTCTTTGTTACATTACCCTTGATCATGCCCTCCCAGGCCTCCCACACCCACCTCAACGCCAATTTGGATCACTTGTTGTTCCCTTGTCCCTGGTTTGTTAGCACCACCACTTCCTTTCCCCCATTTCCCCGTCTCCCATGTTCCCCCGAACTGCTGGTCCCGTTGTTTTCTCCTGCAGATTGTTCATCCAGCCTATCTTATTTAGACAGACCTGCTGATATACACTTACATTTTTTATACGTCAACAGTCTATGTAATCTAGCCTAAAAATCTGTGTACTGTGTACTTTCATTTTCTCAAGAATACTTTAAATACTTTATATCCTTGGCTAAATTAATGATACTATTGATATAAATACCATGTGCCTCGTGGGCATTATTTTTAATATTCTGCAAATGATACTGATGTCTCTAAAGTGGACCAGAGTTGAACTCACACTTAACCATACGTCTTTATCAATTAGTTCTTATGATGTGGCCCTCCTCAACATTTGTCCTCTTGAAGAGATCACTGAAGATATGGGTGCTATCACAAAGTGTGGTTAAGAAATCAGATGGTACCAGGCTATCAGACATAATAACCCCTGTGGTCTTAAAGGCTTGTCTTAAAACAAGAAACCATCTAAGTGAGGTGTCAGCTAAGTCCACAAGAAAGAAGCAAACTCACCTGTGTGATCCAAAAATAATAAAACTCAAGACTGGAGTGTTTTTGTATTGCTTGTTTTATTGGAGTTTTTAATGTTGCTTTTTGGTTTTTATTTTTAATGAAACCCAAGATAGGTAAATCTATAGAGACAGTAACTAGATTAATAATTTCTTAGGTTTATGGCAGGGGGGGTTAGAAGGAAATTGGGAACTAATATTAGTACAAGAATGAAAAGGAAAAAAAAAAAGAATGAAAAGAAAATATTCTAAAAGTGATCTTGGTGGTGGCTGCACCATTCTTTTTAATATATTTAAACCAATGAGTTGTGTGGTACAGTATATGAACTATGTCAATAAAACTTAGGAAAACAAAGCTAGGCAGGTTCTAATCCTAGAAGAATGAATGTAACATCTATAAATAGAGAAGAAAACTACCTGCTGACATTTTTTTAAAAAAGCATGCTAAACTTGCTTTAAGGAACATGACTAGAATAGGGCATTGAAAATTGTGTTTATAGTAAAATGATTGATTGGCTATGTGATCATTTCCATAGTTCTCCCCCAAAAAAGAGTTGAGTAAATGAATCATGATTCGTGGTAGACTTGATGGAATAGATACAAGTATCTTACTTGTTTTCTGTGCTATACAATACATTTAGAAAGAGCTGTAGTAGGGAAA